CTTCGTTTCAGATTTAAGAAAATCTAAGGTGCGAGGATCTCAAATTTTCTTAACTTATAAGCTTCGTGTTTCAATCTTAAATTTAAATGACTCTTCTTGTAGTCTAAAGCAACGTTCAGTTTCTATTGCATCAGCAAAAGTGCTGATGCCGCGATTCAGGAAAAATGGCACCCTTGGAGAGGGTTTGATGTATTGTGTATCACTATAAGAAAAAATTAGGTGGGATACATCAATTGAAGCACTTTGCTAAGGCAACTGACTTTGTCAAAACAACATTTCTTCTCCAAAGACTGGGACACGCCAGTGTCTTTAAAACGAGAGAAAAGCATGTCACAAATTCCACTATTTTTCTTTTTTTTACTTTAAAGAAAAATGTAAGTTTTCTCCATCAGCTTAAACTAAGATTCCTTAGTTTTTGCGCTTAGCCAAGAAACATAGTGATGCCTATGTTTATAGGAAGAAAGAGAAATGTGCCTACGAAAATGTACAGAACGACCAAAAGATTCAACAGAGCAGTCTCTCGTTGCGATGCTTGAAGAACGTCTGAATGAGGCTGAAAGCAGTATTCAAGATTATCGAGACGAAAACACTGTTCTGAAATGCGAGCTTCGAGATCTACAGGTATGTGAACTTCATTTTATTTTTTAACATTAGTCATTCTTCTCGTTTGTAATTACTCTTTGAATATATTGATTTGCCACCCTGACAAGAGATTTAAAAAAAAAACACGCAAGCTGTCCGAAAAGGAAGGTTTTTGGTTTATAACATGTGGAGCAAGAATTAGCATTTTTCCTTGAATGGGGAAGGCTTAGGAAAGTTCAAAGCTGTCAAGATTGACACGTCTCAATTTCTACCCTTATCCTTTACTCCTCTTATTGTTAACTTATTGTAGTAAGCTAATACCAATGCACATATGCTCGTAACCTTCCATTCTCTTGCAGAAGCAAGAGAGAGGAATTTTAAATTGTCAAAAAATGTAATAATTTTTGCAAGTTGGGAATAATATTTGGCAGATTTATTTGGAGTCCATTGCGCATAATATTCTCACCATTCTTGAGAAATTTATTTTCATAGCACCTAATCAATTCATGAATGTAAACTATTAAAAGGAAAAGCTGTCACTTTAATTCACGATTTTTTAAAAGGCGAGCCCCGAAAAGATATTTGGACTGCTCTTTCAATTTTTAACTAACCAAAATAATGGTCTTTAATTTTTGGATTTTGTTTTGTGTCACAATATCAGGGAGGCGGTTTTTGAAACTGAATAATTTTAAATCTGAATTCTTAATTTATAAGACAATTTGTCTTTCAATTTTTGTCGGCGCCATTCCTTAACGGACTTGATATTAACTAATTTTTTACGGTCTACTGATGCTTCTTCAGGAGACAACATATGCGAACTCCGATGCCAAACTGAAAGAAAAAATTACCTGTACAGAAGCGCTTTGTGATGAACTTATGGAAGAAAATGAAGCATTGAAAACAGAAGTCAGAGACTTGCAACAGGAGATTGAGGAGATGCAGGCAATGATTTTTTTTTGAATTTAATGAAACTTATAAAATATAGTATAACTGATTCAGGATCAATACCGTGAGGAAGAGATAGAAGAATTCCGAGAGCTACAAAGGGAGTTGGAACAAAACGCTAAGAACTGTCGCGTATTGCAATTTAAGCTTCGTAAAGCGGAACGTATGAAAGAGCAAAGCGATGCGGAAAAAACGCAGTTACAGACGCGCCTTAACGTAAATTTTAAGCTGAAACCTAATAATAGACTTTCTATTCAGAAAGCATCTTGTTCTTTTTAACAGGATCTGCTCGAAAACTCTAGCGATGCA